CAATGACCCCGCCATGCCGAGGTTGAAGGTGCATCCATCATGCCTGCCGCCCGTCGAGTGCAAGCATCTTCCGTTGTGCTGTGCCTCAAACTCCGAAATGTTCATGACCGATCCGACTGGAAACTATGGTTAAGGCTGCCTACTGTTATGAGACTGTGCATATATGAAGAGGCGATCGAGCGTTAGCCTGGGTCTCAGTTTATGGCAGGAAATGCACAGCTCCAGCTCGCATCTAATTGTAATCCTTCGTGGCCATATCACAGGTCTAGGCCCATGCCATTCGTCTCCCTGGTCCCGTCGATATACCTAAGTTTCGGGCTCGTCATAGACTCGGCGTACCTTGCATTTCTGCAGGACTCCATCTGGTTCTTTTTAATGGGGAGTGTCTACTCACTCGAACCACTCCCACTCGTTAGAACAACAGTATATTCAACGGTTTATTTTCTTTCTTCCAGAATCTAAAGTGGCACCATCCCTTGGAGCTGTCAGAATCACATTACGGTTTCCTGTTACTCTCATACACTTGACCCGAACCAAACCTGTCATACCACGGAGTGTTCTCTTTTTGCAGATGGAGAATTGGAATCGTATGACTGATTTGCAAATGCCACGACAGTTCCAGGGATCGCCATGGAATGTACACATGGAAATGACCGGGGACTGGGAAATTCAATGAAATGACATGTCAGTTGCATATGGCAGTGCGCTGTACATCATATGTTTCCACGGAATTTCCCGATCCAATTTTACCACCTATAAATCTTTTTTGTAAGGGTCATTCCTTACTGCTTCTGGATGCTTTTTTTTGGGGGGGCGATCGTCAACTCCCCAACAGCCCTAAGCATCATGGTAATTAGCGAATTTTCTCTGTGAGTAATCATAATGCACCTTTGAAACAATATCATTATTGTGTCGCATTTCTTGGAGTTTGTGTTCGCATTACTACATTTCATCAATATCGCTTGATTGCTTTCCGGAATTGCAATTTCACTGGTGGACATTGCGTGTAGGACCCCAAGAGGGCATGACAGTTCATTTGTTGGAGTCGCGAAATTCAGGAACACCCTGTTCTGTTGCAGCCGTTGGCATAATTTGTTTCCTCGAGTATTAACTTTCGTAACTACAGGAAAACTGTCAGGATTTCTTTATTGAATCTGATAGCCGTCCAAACCAAACGCAAAATTAATTCCGCATGAAACGGAATGCACAACCATGTTTTTTTATTTTCACTGATGTAAACTGAACTCACTGGGTCTCATTCACCAGAGATTTGATATGACCAAAAGTGACCAGATAATTATCTGGAGGGCTAAACGCACTGCGGGGCAAAATGTAACGATGAATGGAATCGGAATAATGAGTTCCTCAGGGTGTGGTAGGAAGCTAATTTGTTTAGTTCTTCGCTGCGGAGTGCGACTGAGAGAAGAAAAAAAAAGGATATCTCAAACAGCGATAAATTTGTTTTGTGTTATATCTGGAAGGTGTGTCCAATGCTCCAAAAGAATGATTTTCTTCTTCGGAGTTCATTGTTTGAAAGTATTGTGGCAAAATGAGCCAGATATGCGGCGTGGAAGACATGCGAGATCCTGTGAGGGAACTTGAGATCCGAATTTGTGGTCAAACATGGAAGATGAAAATATTAAAACCATTGTTCTTAAGGAATCCTTCATTTGAGCTCGTTTCGTAATTTTTTTTCCATCCATGCGCGCCTCACGACTAGCAAAGGCTAACGGCGGTACATGCACACAATAAGTTGGTGTATTCTGTAGCTGAACAAGTGGGATATCTTCCCTCGGATGCGCACATACCGATGGCTGCTTTGCTGTCCGGACATCTGTAAGGAAAAAGCGCACATACAGGGTCTCATTTGCAGGAAAACATAACATTTATTAAATATAAGTTATAATATGAGGTGGAAGACGTATACGTATATCAGTAAATAGAACATAAGACTTATGACTTTCTGACTTGAATAGCTTAAAAGTCGTTGATTTTGTCTTACCGTTTCATCCCTTCCGAGATGAAAAGAATTGAATTTCAGACTGTTGGACCAAGTGTCAAATTTTCGGAGTAACAACGTATATAAATGCTTAAAGTTATTTTTTTAATTGCGACATCCAAGTTTGTGGGCAACCATCCTGAATTTTCGACCACTTGAATTACTCACGTGCCTCTCATATTCTCATCCCAGACTTGCTCCTTATATGCATGCAAATGACGTCATATTAAAAGAGCCCCACACGAGACAAGTGTTCCTTTCGTGAATATCTTGATATTCTTCCCAGTTTCACCTAGCCACGAACACAGTGCCCAGACTTTCGCGCGAGACTTCCGTACAACGGGTTTCATGGACACCGTGTATCAAAACAAGTCTGCCCTTACGTTTGGAATGGATGATGACAATATCCGTCTTATTGAAGCGATTCAACGATAGCCTTCTCTCTCAGAGAATGATTACGAAAGCAAACCCATATCTTCACTTAGAAGGCGAAGACGCTCACCCGACATTGTTTCCGTCCGTAACTTCAGCCAGAGTATGATCCCACGGGACGAGTACGGTGCCGCTCAGCGTATAGTCGCAACAGTTGATGGAGTGGCTGTGTCCTCCACAGGTCTCNCGAAACTGGCTTGTGCTTGCTTACAGACGCCAGACACGAGAGGAAACGGAAGCTCCTAGACGGGCTAGTAAGTCGACATTCGGAGCCGTTCTGCTGTCCCTCGGCTAATCGGCTGGCCCGTGCAAGAGCCCTAATTCCATCATCCCAGGCATAACGAATCCTTAGTGCGGGTTAGCGTCATTGCAGGAAGGCCTGAGAATCATCTGAAAAGGTATAGCAGTTGTAGGGCGTGAGGCCATGTGATTGAGTGACGGCAAGCAGGGCGATCACGATCCCCGTCGCGATCCCGTGAACAAGCATCTGATGAAGGGGGAGGAAAAGGGCAAACACTGCATTATCCACTATGGCGTATCTCCGCAACTGGATGTCGGAAGGTGGGAAAGGAGGAAAATATTGATACAAAAAGCGAGTGCACTTATCGGTGTGCAATTTTCTTCGCGACAGCTTATGCTTGAAGTTGTCGAGGACACAATTTGCTGATTCAGAAAGGAGATTCCCGGTCTGGGAGTTGATTTCTCTCATAACTTTGGAAAAGTGAAGACGAAAAGAGCTTTAACGGAACGTAGGAACAAATATCGTTTTCTAATGATGAATGGAATCGGAATAATGAGTTCCTCGGGGTGTGGTAGAAAGCTAATTGGTTTAGTTCTTCGCTGCGGAGTGCGACTGAGAGAAGAAAAAAAAAGGATATCTCAAACAGCGATAAATTTGTTTTGTGTTATGTCTGGAAGGTGTGTCCAATGCTCCAAAAGAATGATTTTCTTCTTCGGAGTTCATTGTTTGAAAGTGTTGCGGCAAAATGAGCCAGATACGCGGCGTTGAAGACATGCGAGATCCTGTGAGGGAACTTTAGATCCGAATTTGTGGTCAAACATGGAAGATGAAAATATTAAAACCATCGTTCTTAAGGAATCCTTCATTTGAGCTCGTTTCGTAATTTTTTTTCCATCCATGCGCGCCTCACGACTAGCAAAGACTAACGGCGGTACATGCACACAATAAGTTGGTGTATTCCGTAGCTGAACAACTGGGATCTCTTCCCTCGGATGCGCACATACCGACGGCTGCTTTGCTGTCTGGACATCTGTAAGGAAAAAGCGCACATACAGGGTCTCAATTGCTGGAAAATATAACATTTATTAAATATAAATTATGATATCAGGTGGTAGACGTATACGTATATCAGTAAATAGAAGATAAGACGCATGACTTTCTGACTTGAATAGCTTAGAAGTCGTTGATTTTGTCTTACCGTTTCATCCCTTCCGAGATGAAAAGAATTGAATTTCAGACTGTTGGACCAAGTGTCAAATTTTCGGAATCACAACGTATATAAATGCTTAAAGTTCTTTTTTTAATTGCGACATCCATGTTTGTGGGCAACCATCCTGAATTTTCGACCACTTGAATTACTCGCGTGCCTCTCATATTCTCATCCCAGACTTGCTCCTTATATGCATGCAAACGACGTCATATTAAAAGAGCCCCACACGAGACAAGTGTTCCTTCCGTGAATATCTTGATATTATTCCCAGTTTCACCTAGCCACGAACACAGTGCCCAGACTTTCGCGCGAGACTTCCGTACAACGGGTTTCATCGACACCGTGTATCAAAACAAGTCTGCCCTTACGTTTGGAATGGATGATGACAATATCCGTCTTATTGAAGCGATTTAACGATAGCCTTCTCTCTCAGAGAATGATTACGAAAGCAAACCCATATCTTCACTTAGAAGGCAAAGACGCTCACCCGACATTGTTTCCGTCCGTAACTTCAGCCAGAGTATGATCCCACGGGACGAGTACGGTGCCGCTCAGCGTATAGTCGCAACAGTTGATGGAGTGGCTGTGTCCTCCACAGGTCTCACCAAAGAAAGAGCTGCATGCTCCCCGAAGGAATAGGGGTTCTGGGCAGGTGACCATCTCTCCGGGATCCCCAGAAATCGAATTGCACCCGCTGGATGACAAGGGCCCTTCAACCACGTGGCAGCATTGGATTTCGGTAGCATCCCCGCCGCAGGCACTCGTGTCACCTGCCGCTCCGCAGACGTGGAACACCATCTTTTACCCTTTCATTTTATGGTATAGGTTCCACAGAAGGAGGCTTGAAAGTATCGGTCAATTTCGTCGGTTCAGCTGCTTAAAGGTTTTAGTACTCATTTAAGAAAAAAGGAGGGTCGTTGTTGAGAACCCTGAATCCAAATACATCACTGCAAGCAGTAGACTACCTCATCTTTTATTTTAAATGGAGGAATGGCCATCGTGTGAGACGACGAGTAAAGGGTGAACAACAACAACAACATTAGGCCGGTCTGGTATTTTATCTGAAAGTAGCCCCACTTTGCATGACAATGCGACAGAGAAAATGGAATAAACAGAACCTCATCCGCGTCGCAATCCACGGTTACCCCAGAACTTGCTCCAATGGTTCGGCAATTGATGGGTGTGAAGCTCTGGCATCGATGGAGAGAAAGCAGGACGATCGCGATCCCCGTCACGATTCTGCAAACGTTGAGCTGAAGAATAGGGTGGATGCATTGAAATGACTAATATGTAATTATTCACTGCATTTCAGCAACTGGATATAGAAATGTGTAATATAGGATACCGTGGAGGAGGATTTTTATAATTGCCGAAAGCCTGAGAAATACGGTAAAGCCACTTAGTAACGTACAATATCTGCAAAATGCCTGCAAATTATCCTCGATTATGTAACTGGCGGCCTGAATCACATATTTTATTAGCTAACTCTTTTCAGCCTGTTTCCATCTCACAAGTGGATCCAGTGAAAATAAACTACCGAAAGGGATCTAAGAGAAAGTGCTAAGCCTCTCTACAGCTACCCTTACTACACGCTAAATCCGAAATGAATCTAAAATGCTCACGGACTCACTTTTGCCATGATTTCTGTAGAGGGCACTGCGTACTATATATGTGATACGATGGGTGATCTGAGGGTTCATGTGCCGCTGTGACTACTTTTATAGGAGTCACGGCACGTGTTAATCGCAATGAATACGAAGGAAACCCTGGATATCGGCGAGACCTCGGACACCTGGAGGACTTCCGTGGAATTCCCTAGCTTTTTCCTGGAAAACCTGAGTCGCACATGAGAAAGGAAATAAATTATAATGTTTTTAAAGTAGACGCTGACGTGCGTGGATTTCTGAACGATAAGCTCTCCACGCGGTATTCATGATTCCACTTACTGTGTAGCAGGCATACATACATTTTGCCACTTTACGGCTCATAAAAATCGGAGGCAGAAAAATCGGATTGGTTGGCAGCCACTTCTGCCAGAAATTCTGATCAGAAAGATCTGCCAAGAAAGTGAGGATGACTGTCATCTCGGGTCTTCTGATGGTCCTGTTGATTTTCAACCGAAAAATGCAGCTGTAAACTTGCAAAATTGTGTCGACTTATAGGAACTAAACACTAAGCTGCAAAAATAGCCTGCATATACGGATGAATCAAGTGCTATTTTTTCTGGGATAATGCTCTGCACTTTCGTCAGAACCCAGTTTTTGCAGAAATTAGGGTAACAAATTGATCCACATTCTCCCTAAACCGTGGATATGGTAGATACTGACTTGGACCCGAACGGGATCTCAAGGTGCTTGAGCTGGCCCTTCTATGTCTGCCGTTGACATGCATCCACACAGATTAGAAGTGGATCTTTTCATCCGAGTCAATATAGAAATGCCTTGAGGAGCAGTGAGTCAAACATACACCAGGATCGCTATCCACAAAGAATGCCAACATCTATTTTTTTTCAGCATGCAGCATTATAGCTTGCAACAATCCACGTAAATTTCCTTCGTGGAATACCTGGAAGGACATGACCCCTAGTTTAGCTAAATGCTTATAAAGAGTTTAAAATGGAAGATGAAGGTTGGGGATGCACTTCCAAGATTCCTAGGCTCCTTATCAGCTGCAGTTTTAAAGTGTGAACATCTTTAGATTTTGGCAATGCTTCTATTTTTTGTTGCAGCTCTCATCAACAGATGTAAATGTTTGACTCGGATTCTGAGAAGTCCATGTGACAGGTCTCAAGCTATGAGACACTATGCTCAGTAAGGAATATGCATCTAATGAAGCGAATCGCCTAAACAAAAGGAAATGCAGTAACACTTACTTAAAATGGGCCAATCTAAAGCAAGTTAGGCCTAAGCCAATATTAGATTTGCCCGCAAAGGCAACAAAACACACAAACAAAAAGTTCAAATTTAGATCTAGAACCAGTTCTAGCAACGGTTGGCTCCAATTTTTCAGTTTAAAGAACTGGGAAAAAAAGACGAATTTGGGTAAATAATTTTTGGGTCTTTTATTAGTCGAAGTACAAAGGACGATCCAAAGTCGGTTTTCAGGAAGTATCCGGGCTGTTCTAATGGATACTTACTTGTCGTCCTGATCGCCAGCTGCGTAAATCGCAGGCGTCTCTAGAAAAATGCCGAGAGAACCAACTGCTCCACAATCGGAGCCAGTCGATCGTAAAACGAGACGTCTTTTGGGACGCCAACTTTTACCATACCGCTTCGAGATTGCGTAATTCGATCAACAGCCAACAGATGGCGGGTTACCTGCCACTCATGACCTCATTGGGCCAGCTTCCCAATGGCCGTCCAGTTTCTGTCCGGCAAGACGCGGGTAAATTCCATCGATGTTCGTGGGTCTTCAACTATGAATGCCACTCTGCCACACCCCACACGATCCCGCTCGCGCCGACAGGGGCCAATCACGGGGTTGGAAAAAGTATCTTAATTGGGTTGGGACTGATGAAAGTGAAAATTGAGCTCATAACTTTTTCAGAGTGCTTTTTTTTTGGTTGCAGTGAGCCTCCTTTTTAGTTGTTTTTTTTGTCTTGAGCATTTCTCCTTTGATGACCTTATGACCGAGTCAGACTGAGATTTCTCATGGACTCTATCCAAGCCGCGCATGACGTCCATGCAACGTTGCTGCGACGTGACTTGAGCTAAATCACGTCGTATGGACGTTATTTACAGGTATTTGTTGCTCGGACAAGGAAAGACTATCAAGTTGAGCACTAGACGAAATATGTTTCAACCTATTTCGTTTAGTGTTCAACTTGCTCAACTCAAAGCGGATCAACTTCAAGGGAAAAACGCCATTGAGGTAACAATAAGAAAATATTCGAAAACACGCCCATTATTTTATTGGTTTGTATACCGATGCAACGCGAAGCGACGTTATCGGACTCAGGATGAATTGTTTCAGAAAAACAGCGTGCCTCAAGTTTAGCAATATCCATTAGAAGGATCACCAGCCAAATAGAATTTAAGTTTTTCAAAAATGCACGTAAGGGTTCGCTAAATCGTGGACGTGAAACGACCTTTGTCTGACGTCGAGGCAACTTTCGCGACGATGCGACGGGAATGCAAAGTACTGTGTTGCTTGGGGTTGGATTCGTGACTACTTCAGCTATCGTGTCGGTGTCTGAATCATCAGTATTTTAATGCATCATATATTTTGTGCCGAGTTCATGGGATGAGTTGAGACCGAAACAGTAGTTAGCAGTGGTCGATAGATGTGGTGGGACATGGACATACCGTTGGTGGATACCTCGTCTGAAGAAGGCGTCCAACGTACATTTGAATCGCGGAGGCATTCAGTCCACGGACCTCGTCGAGAATGTTGAGAGAAACCTTCGATAGGCCGGACGTTACACGACCGCACTGAAATGGTCCATGAAAGCAGGAACAGGCGTGGCGTGCAATCGGACTAACGTTCCACGTTCCCGCCAAGATGTCCCGAAGACCCCGTGATTCAATCTTATTGTATTTGGCTAAGTGGCCTCGCAAGTTGAGGGTTGAGGTTATTTTGATTGAAAAGCCAGTCTTCTTCCCACTCTGATCTTGTAGAACTATCGTTACGTTGTCTTGGAGTTTGGAATGAATCCGGTGTTGAAATAAATATATAAAATTAGGTATCAGATCCATGCCATACTCAATTTCATGAAACCAAAAGTTTCCGGATTCATGAAGTGATTTTAAAATTTATGGGAGGACCGTTCTGAAACTTGCAGTAGTTTCACTACAGAAATTTGTCACTTTTCAAAGTAACCTTTGGTAATGTGAATGCCCTTTCTCCACCGTATGGCAATATGAAGGTACGACTCCTTTAAATGACAGTCCGATGAGTCCTCCACCTTGTAGCGGTCTTTTCGCCTCATCCTCATCAGCGAAATTAATTCTATGCAGATGATCTCTCTTACTGAAAGCCATGAGAATCTGTATAGAATTCATTTCGTTGATGAGGATGAGGTGCAATGTGCAAACAGATTTCGCAGCACCCACCCAAAAACGTAGTTTTTCAAATTTTCTTGATGACGTGTCTGATACCTCACCAAGAGATTTATTTCTCCTTCACGTATGGCATGTTTCGTGGCCTGCGGCAATTTATGATACTAGATCTAACCAAATCCAAGCCAAGTACAACCTTGAGTCTACTAGCGACTTTGTCACAACTACACGTAGATTGCACCTTAAATTTTAAGCCTTAGCGAAGAGATTTTCGTCAGAAATAAAGACGCTACGTCCCGCGAAGAACCTGGGATCAGGACAAGGGAGTGGTGAAAGCCTCGGCACAGATGAGCTTGGTGAAATCATCCCCTGTACAATCTGGATCTGTATCTTCCGAAGCACAGAGTCCTGTGGCTACTCTGCCTCCAGGACAGCTATTAAAAAAAAACACACGCATTTACTTCCTATAATAGAAGTTTATACATGTAGAAGGAAATGACACAAGCAGCTGCAAGACAAACAGCACAGGGTATAGCAAACGGCACAAGGTGAAGGGAGGATATGCAAACATTTCCTATCCTCGAAGTCGAAAGTAAAGAACGATGCTCCAATCAAAACCATTGAGTCATTGAAATTTTGGAATCTATGGAAAATTGAATATTTGGAATATTGATATAATACGGAATATTTGAAATATTGAAAACTACGACAGTCTTTCTTATGGTATACATATGATATTGAGATGAGGAAATCTGCATCTGCGAACACGAGGCAAACTGATACTTACGAGACACTATGTCCATTCGTAGATCCTTCTTCTGCAGGCTCCCAGGGGATCAGCGGTGCTCCGCTAAATCTATACCTGTAGTCGCAACAGTTGATGGAGTGGCTGACTCCACCACTACACATCTCACCGAAGAAGGAGGAGCAGGCTCCCCTCATGAACTGGTCTTCAGGGCAGGAGAGCGTCTGCCCAGGGGAACCACCATGCGTCTGACAGTTGTCAGATTCTAGTGATCCTTCCTCCACATGGCAGCACCGGATTCGAGTTGCGCAATCCCCAGGTGCCGCACAGCCACCGGACCCAACACAGGCGCCTATGTTTCCTCCCGCTCCGCAAACATAGAACACCATCTTCAAACGAGCAACGAACATCCTTTGCAGCTTTCGAACTTTAAAGTTTCATTAAATCGCAGCGTGAAATCGCTTTGAGGTCTATTTTACATTAAGTAGGCTAATGACTGTGTCGTCATAAACAAAACGTGCGACAGCAAAAAAGGAGGTAGTGGACAAGCCAGGATTTACGGGAAGAATGATGTACTCGTACTTCGAAGTTTTCATTCTTTTCTTGCTCCCAAGAATCATTCATTTGTATCCACAACTGTCTCCCATCGGTGCAAACGATCATTTTCAGTATGTACTGGGAACGGAATTTGTTTGGCAGAATAGAAGGGGTTACTTGAAGTACCTGGAAGTCTGTCTCAGACAGAATTCCAGGTTGGAGGTTGGAACAAAAATAACCCAATTCCAATTGGTTTATTGGTTAAAAGTAAGAGAATGAGAAAAAGAGAGATATGGGACCTCATCTGGTTCGCAATCCGCCGTCACCCCACTTGCTCCTCCCTTATAATTGCAGTTGTAGGGTGTGAGGCCATGTGATTGAGTGACGGCAAGCAGGGCGATCACGATCCCCGTCGCGATCCCGTGAAGAAGAATCTGATGAAGGGGGAGGAAAAGGGCAAACATTGCATTATTCANCGTGAAACGACCTTTGTCTGACGTCGAGGCAACTTTCGCGACGATGCGACGGGAATGCAAAGTACTGTGTTGCTTGGGGTTGGATTCGTGACTACTTCAGCTATCGTGTCGGTGTCTGAATCATCAGTATTTTAATGCATCATATATTTTGTGCCGAGTTCATGGGATGAGTTGAGACCGAAACAGTAGTTAGCAGTGGTCGATAGATGTGGTGGGACATGGACATACCGTTGGTGGATACCTCGTCTGAAGAAGGCGTCCAACGTACATTTGAATCGCGGAGGCATTCAGTCCACGGACCTCGTCGAGAATGTTGAGAGAAACCTTCGATAGGCCGGACGTTACACGACCGCACTGAAATGGTCCATGAAAGCAGGAACAGGCGTGGCGTGCAATCGGACTAACGTTCCACGTTCCCGCCAAGATGTCCCGAAGACCCCGTGATTCAATCTTATTGTATTTGGCTAAGTGGCCTCGCAAGTTGAGGGTTGAGGTTATTTTGATTGAAAAGCCAGTCTTCTTCCCACTCTGATCTTGTAGAACTATCGTTACGTTGTCTTGGAGTTTGGAATGAATCCGGTGTTGAAATAAATATATAAAATTAGGTATCAGATCCATGCCATACTCAATTTCATGAAACCAAAAGTTTCCGGATTCATGAAGTGATTTTAAAATTTATGGGAGGACCGTTCTGAAACTTGCAGTAGTTTCACTACAGAAATTTGTCACTTTTCAAAGTAACCTTTGGTAATGTGAATGCCCTTTCTCCACCGTATGGCAATATGAAGGTACGACTCCTTTAAATGACAGTCCGATGAGTCCTCCACCTTGTAGCGGTCTTTTCGCCTCATCCTCATCAGCGAAATTAATTCTATGCAGATGATCTCTCTTACTGAAAGCCATGAGAATCTGTATAGAATTCATTTCGTTGATGAGGATGAGGTGCAATGTGCAAACAGATTTCGCAGCACCCACCCAAAAACGTAGTTTTTCAAATTTTCTTGATGACGTGTCTGATACCTCACCAAGAGATTTATTTCTCCTTCACGTATGGCATGTTTCGTGGCCTGCGGCAATTTATGAATGATCTAGATTGGTTTAGGTTCGGTTCATGTTGGAACTCAGATGATCGCTGAAACAGTGTTGATGTGCATCTAACGTGGAATTTAAAATTCGGAATCGCTTCTCTAAAAGCAGTCTTTATTTCTGCTTACGTCCCGCGAAGAACCTGGGATCAGGACAAGGGAGTGGTGAAAGCCTCGGCACAGATGAGCATGGTGAAATCATCGCCTGTACAATCTGGATCTGCATCTTCCGAAGCACAGAGTCCTGTGGCTACTCTGCCTTCAGGACAGCTATTAAAAAAAAGAAAAGCACACGCATTTACTTCCTATAATAGAAGTTTATACATGTAGAAGGGAATGACACAAGCAGCTGCAAGACAAACAGCACAGGGTGTAGCAAACGGCACAAGGTGAAGGGAGGATATGCAAACATTTCCTATCCTCGAAGTCGAAAGTAAAGAACGATGCTCCAATCAAAACCATTGAGTCATTGAAATTTTGGAATCTATGGAAATTTGAATATTTGGAATATTGATATAATATGGAATATTTGGAAAATTGAAATCTACGACAGTCTTACTTATGGTATACATTTGATATTGAGATGAGGAAATCTGCATCTGCGAACACGAGGCAAACTGATTCTTACGAGACACTATGTCCATTCGTAGATCCTTCTTCTGCAGGGTCCCAGGGGATCAGCGGTGCTCCGCCAAATCTATACCTGTAGTCGCAACAGTTGATGGAGTGACTGACTCCACCACTACACATCTCACCGAAGAAGGAGGAGCAGGCTCCCCTCATGAACTGGTCTTCAGGGCAGGAGAGCATCTGCCCAGGGGAACCACCATGCGTCTGACAGTTGTCAGATTCTAGTGATCCTTCCTCCACATGGCAGCACCAGATTCGAGTTGCGCAATCCCCAGGTGCCGCACAGCCACCGGACCCAACACAGGCGCCTGTGTTTCCTCCCGCTCCGCAAACATAGAACACCATCTTCAAACATAGAACACCATCTTCAAACGAGCAACGGACATCCTTTGCAGCTTTCGAACTTTAAAGTTTCATTAAATCGCAGCGTGAAATCGCTTTGAGGTCTATTTTACATTAAGTAGGCTAATGACTGTGTCGTCATAAACAAAACGTGCGACAGCAAGAAAGGAGGTAGTGGACAAGCCAGGATTTACGGGAAGAATGATGTACTCGTACTTCGAAGTTTTCATTCTTTTCTTGCTCCCAAGAATCATTCATTTGTATCCACAACTGTCTCCCATCGTGCAAACGATCATTTTCAGTATGTACTGGGAACGGAATTTGTTTGGCAGAATAGAAGGGGTTACTTGAAGTACCTGGAAGTCTGTCTCAGACAGAATTCCAGGTTGGAGGTTGAACAAGAATAACCCAATTCCAATTAATTTATTGGTTAAAAGTAAGAGAATGAGAAAAAGAGAGATATGGGACCTCATCTGGTTCGCAATCCGCCGTCACCCCACTTGCTCCTCCCTTATAGTTGCAGTTGTAGGGTGTGAGGCCATGTGATTGAGTGACGGCAAGCAGGGCGATCACGATCCCCGTCGCGATCCCGTGAAGAAGAATCTGATGAAGGGGGAGGAAAAGGGCAAACATTGCATTATTCATCATATCGCATTTCCGCAACTGGCTATCAGAATATAGGGGAGAATATGGAATATAGGGTCAATGGGGAGAATATAGATATGGAAAGGGAATACACTCATCGATGCGCTATTTTATTTGTAAAAATGCTTAATGCTGTTAAGGACACAATTTGCTCACTTGGAAAGGTGACTTCTTGTCCAATAGTCGATATCTCTTATGAAATGTTAGCAAGAGAATAGGACTGAAGGAGCTTTAAAATAACTGAAGAAAAATTATCGCATGCCGATTCAGGAAACCCTTAAATCCTGTCGAAATAAATAGTTGATTCACTCACCCCTGGCATGGCTCTCATCTAAGACCCTCCGTCCGTTGCACGATGATTGAACTCCAAAGGGCGATCTGAGAGTATACATGCGGCTGCAGCTGCTTTTATAGCAGCTGAGGCGTGTCGTGTGAATGAAGAAAGCCCTGGGAATTGGTGAGACCGCGGACACCTGCAAGTCTTCTTCCGGGAATCTCTCGTTCCTACTCCGAAAATTCAAATCTCCCAAGTAATTGAGGAGTTCTCTGGAAAAGGGCGTATGTGCCCATACGCCTGTATGGACATATACGCCCTTTTTCCAGAGAACTCTTCAATTCATAGGAGGGTTTTTTGTTGGCACTGTCAGAGCCTGAACGAAAAACCCTTCGCGTCCTGAGGGCCTCTTCAGTCCAAGGAAAAGAGGATCGTGAACGTCGTTCCGAGGGCGCTAGAGTCCTGATGGATTTTGAAAATGCCGAATAAGGGCCACACGAAAACTTATTATTATTGAGAAGTTCGGACTCTAATTTTTTTTCTCTTGATGACGATGGAATACCACAGCAAGTCCACGCGGTACGTCAGCCCTATGTACGGCATTTCGCATTCCTGACAAGATCTCTACTGATGCTTCACCGCACCGTAATGTTGCCATTTTACTACAGTAAAAATGAAATCTTAATTGTAGCTGGAAATGAACTAGGTCATTTGAGTTGCAATTTTGAAGTATACTAAAATATCTATGAAACTCAAATCCTGCCTCGGATCATAAATGTGTGGGAAATCAATTTTTCCCTGCCTAACGATCGTGTGCCACTGTAAATCACAATTGATGATTCTGCATGTGTTCAACACGAATCGAAGGTCGCATATGCTTTCTGCTCCTATTCCTCCTTTATTCCTTTTGTTGATGTCCTTGGGCATCGACAGGAGGGATGAAGGTGGCTGGAGCCGGGGGCAGGACTTTGAATAAGGCCTTTCATTCTACAGGGTGTTTATTCATATGAAACTCAAGTTATTATTGCCTAGCTCTGTGATGCGAACCTATGGCTCGCGTGCCCAATATGGGACGCGATGTGATATTGACAAACATAAATTACATAAAACGAACAGCTGAAAGGAACAAACGGAAGAACTTCTTTGACTTAGAGGTATCTGAACGGTGGGATAGGAATCTCTTGAATCTGGATTCATAGCGTCTGAGTGGGTGGGGGCCATGGGAACTAGTCCAGGGCAGATATGAGTACAGAAGAAAAGTATTTGCCTGCTTTTAGAAATGATTTTGCATGATGAATTTGATTACTGTCTCTGAAAAGTAATGAAGAGTAAATCTCCTTTTCCCCTCATTTGCTCTGTAAGAAAAGACCTCTCCCTCCCGCTGTTATGATCGTGTGCCCTGCTTAGACGTCTTTTTTTGGAAAGAAGAGTCTTTTTTAATTTAGGAAAAGTCCACTATTTTCTAAAGAGAATAAAATCCTCCCTCACTAATCCCCAAAGTTGTATTTCCCTAACTAGAACCGTCTCTCAATTGCCCTACATCTAGGAATACCAGACCCGTCACAGTACCAGTCGGCCGCCTGCTCAGCTTCATTCATGTTATGTTGTGTTGCAGATGGTTATTGTGCACTTTCTTTCCCAAGTTATTCTGTGACCTTTATCAGCAGCCCCCACAAAGTGCAATTTGAGGACCTTCACCTTTCGGACCCGGAGTGGTTAGGGTTTGAGAGTTTGGAAATGGAATCGGTAGAGCTCCCAAGAAAGTAGTGAATGGAAGACGAAGTTTGCCGATACAGATGTGACACTCGAACAGATTGAGCGTGAACGAAGTGAGGGAAAAATGTGGCAGGTGCTGAAATCAAGATTTTGAAGGTTTGGACTTTCCTGCGTATCTTCTTCAGTTCGTTGAAGATACCCGCTGCTGCAGTGCTCGCATTCTTCGGTTCCACTTACTTTTGCGAGCAGCTGCTTTCTTCCAAGAACTGTATTCAATCACAACTGCGAAATCGCCGGGCAGATAACACGTGTGCTAAGTGTGTGGCTACGAAAACGGCCAAGTACCAACCTAGGATTGAAAAACTTAAATAAAATTTAGCATCAGACGTCTCCCTAAGACTGGCACGCAGGGACCCCGGTAAGTATGATTATTTTGTTGTGTGACACGCGGAGCCAAAAATATTCGCCTCACTGGCTAAGGCCTAGAGGAGCGTACCCTAGTAGGCCTCGTGCGTTAGGCCTATAAGGCGATAACATGCTCGGCTAGAGAAACTTCGGTGTACTTTTAAAAAGACACGTTGTACATCGCCAGTACGCCACCACTACAATTTAAAGTTTGTTCAGCATTAAATGTCCTTTTTTCCCCTCTTCATTTACCTCCTATCTTTCCGGCCTCTTCCCATGGCTTTGTACTTCACCCCAACCTACTCTCTTGACCACTGTGGTCTCTGACTCAGTGTCCATCTCTCTCCTCTCCCTCTCCGCCCACTCAACTCCTAACCAGAGAAACTCCTAATAATGAGAGGCCTGAGGCTGATTGACAGGGTAAGGGTGAGCGGTGACGGTAGAAGGTGAAAGAAGAGGGGGTAAATAAACTTATGAGTACTCAAATAACTTCGAATTTCAACGATAGCTCTTTCGTCTGGCAATATAAAAGGAAATGCCTTAATGCCCCCAGCTCCAAGCTCCCAATCATGGTCAGTTAATTTTTTAAAAGTTACTTTTAAAAAATTATCTTGAGTAGATAATGCAGTAACATCAGTATGCTGACATATGAGGGGCTGTCATTATACTTTCCTACAATAGGGACCATTTTGTCAGGGACTATTTATTCCTGGGTTTGAAGGAAAGGCATAGCGATAAGCTTCGGCCTTTCAACTTCGTTCGCCATGCTGGGAAAAGCCGAGGGCAAAACATTGTATAGCCAGGGCTAAAACCAATAACGTGCAATATGGTGCTTTCTAAACCTTCCTTTCAAGATTTCCTTCCAAACATCGCCATATGCGATTCCATCGGAAGCTCTGCAGTGGAAAAATCCAATTGCAGCTATTCGGGCGCACATCTACCACGCGTGCTTCCGTCAATGGATTTGCGAAATTAAACAGTAACTTTCAGGACGAGAGTAATAAAAGAAAATTCATTTTTCCCTATTTTACGGAACCATTCTGTAGCTGATGTTTCGGCGCAATCCCAAGAGCACTTCCGCAAAGAAGAAAAATTTCAAGGTGAATCATAATTTCATACATGTGAAAAGATGCTCTTGGGAAATCAGATAAGAATTCCAAGAAAGAGACTTACATGAAGGCCATCAGAGATTTCGTATAAGTGCGAAGAATACCGAGAATTCCCCGAAAAGCTGGATCCTGATAACGTTCGAAATAGCAAGCAAATCATAGATGCGATACAACTGCGAAGATTTTCTCAGTTCTCCTACGGTTCCCGGTATACTGCAGTAAAACAATAAAAGAAGCAGATGTCTTTCGGAGCAATGGATGTGGAAGATAAGAAAGGAATTAGCAACATTTTCTGACGGTTCTTACTTCCTCATGTGATGATCAATTATGATGCTAAAACTATGTTCGGCTAAATAAAATAGCTTCCTTTCATCATAATGAAATATGAAGAATATAAGAAGTATGCTCCACATTTGATAGGACACTGTAATTCCTTCCTCAAGGGATATGCTGCATCTTCATAGGCATGCAAATGCTTCTTTGGGAGGGAAGTGAGAGACTGGACTAAAACCTGTGGTTGCATTTGAAGTTCCTCACGTCAAAACGCTCAGAATGGAAATTTAAAATTAATGCCTTCAATTCCTTTGCATGCAGCAGAGTTAGGAGAGATGTGATACTTCGCTATCCCCATGAACAGGAAAACAACTACATTTGTTGTAAAAGCGGACATTTTCACTTTCCTAGATCGAGAGATGAACTTCACAAGTTTCAAGACGACCCATACTAGCCTACAGCGTCTGGGGCGTCTTCGATTTCTCTCCGAAATGGCGAACGAGATATCTCCTCGTCTGTTGCTTTGACTTAGGTGAAAGCCTTCAAAATCCTCAAGGAAAGAAAATTCAGTTGCAGTAGTTCAAATCAAGAGGAAAATGCTTTACATTTGGATATCTGGAGATCAGTGAGTTTACTAGATTGTACCTTGTGTATCACTGTGTCGACAATGCCCTCGGATCGGATGTCGTTTGAACACTATTTGCGGGGAGATCCGAGGATGTTGCTCGCCGTTCCATAGCTGGAGCGCGTGGCCGAAATCCCATTCGAAAATCAAGAACTTGAATGCCTAGTAATGCGCTCGCGTCCCCGTCCTCCTCTGAGACGGGTAATCAAAATTCTCTAATGTCGCCTCCACAATCGGCAAGAATCTCGCTGGACCTGTTTAAATTAATTGTTTTGTGAAATTCGAGTGTCGTCCCTTACGTCGTCCGCGGGAATACATCAGAAACCGCATGGAAGGTATCGCCGAGGTGGACCCTACACGGGCAGCCCACTGCCATGCTGGCCAACTCCCCCGACACTAAGGGCCAATGCACACTAACTCTGAAGAGCGGCGTGATCGATGATGATCGAGATCGGTAAAAGGCCGACACGCTTCGAGGAAGCTGAAAAATGCAAAATACTTTGAATTTGACTTTCCCTGAAATTTAATGTTTAAAGTTTCTGAATTTGAGTATTTTTCATGGTATCATGTTGAATATGTTGGGTATTTTTTTATGTTTTTGCGAATTTTGGTGGAGAATATTACCCTGTATTTGATTCATTTATTTATTTCAGTATAACTATATGTAGAAAATTAATTTCGTTCTGACCGAACTACACGAGTTCGGATTGGGATCGTTTCTGATTCTGCAGTGAGACTCTGGAAGAACCATTTCCGCGGAACGAAGCAAAGACGAGCCGGAACTGTTCGATTCCTGGAATCAGAATCTCAGAGATTCCTGGAACTACCTGGATCTCAGGGCTTTCACGAGATAGATGATGAACGTCATCTGTAGCATTCGCACGGTCGCTCGGGCGAGTGACAATAGGGCAAAGATAAAATAATAAATAAAATAAAGTAATTCATATACTGTAAGTCGTCTACCGTAAGGAT